TTTATTTATAACTAACACGTCATATGGTAATAAACAAAACTTAATCTAAGCATCTGTCAAAAAGGTATAAATAAAGATGTGGTGTTTATGTAAAAAAATCGCTGGTAGGAAAAAATGTATTTAATATAAGAGGATGGAATGAGAACAAGTAGCTTCTTATGGTTTCAAATAAAAAGGGTCAAGCATGGGTCTAATTGTGCTTAGAAAAGTTGTTTTTCTGTGAAAGGATATACAGAGATTAGTTAACAATATTTCACTGTCAGCACAGAGGGCTGTACAGAGCAGGACTCTGCCTTGGCCATCTATACTTTGTATTTTCATAAGCACACGGGTTGATCTATCTATAAATCTATAAATACATCTTTGCAAACAAGCTGAGAGCAATCTGAAAAAAAAAGAGAAATACAAAAGAACATCTATAAATAGTCTGAAATACAAACAAACACAAAACAACAAACCAAAACAGAGTGCAAGTAAATAATTTCAGGGATCTGCACTTGGCCACAATGCAAAACAGCTGCTGAGGTAGCAGCTGTGGTGAGGCCCAGCTGGAGGCTGCTGTTCCCTTTTGGGCACGACARCATTTGGAAAGCATGTGGCCAAATCCGAGGAAGTGCAGAGGAGCAATGGGAAAGAGGAGCTACCTCGGGAGCCAGACTGAGGCTGCCAGATGCAAAGAGATGGTGGTGCTCAGAGGCACAGTAACAGTCAAAAATGGAARAAGATAACGAACCTCAAAGGAGTGATTTGTTAATATGGTGCAAAATAAAATTCAGCCAGCAAGATCTAAGTTAAACACAAAGAAAAAGCTTTCCAATGAGAAGCGTTAATGCCAGAATCGGTTACCTGGGGAGGCAGGTGATGCCGTAACCATTGCTCCTCTAGGAGACCTTCCGAAATCATTGGACGAGCATGCCAAGAATCATTATGTCTCAAATGGACAGACAAATGTCCAGACAAAACATTCAATTTCAAATTATAATCATCCTATTTTGGTATCACTGAAAGTGGTTACATTACAGTCATCAGGCCTTTGCCACCCTTATTAAATTGCTCCTTTACTCCCACTGAGGCTGCATCTGGTTACCCCAGGCGCTCCTGGTTTGCTGTGGTAAAGGCAGCCTTTTGGAAAGGCCAGTAGGCTGATAGGTACCTAGTCTAAATTATTTCATTTTTCACACTGTTCATGATGTCTGACTGAAATAAAATACTTATTTTCCATGCAGTATCTTATATCATGGTGACAAACCTCTAATTTCAGGAAGTATAGAAAGGGGCACTCTCTTTTTTGAATAATGAGTGCATTCCGATTAATCCCTCCTTAATGTAAGCTAATCAATTATTAACTTACTAAGTAAATTTAACTAACTTCAAAATAACTTACTAAGAAATGAAGTGGTTRCAATTTGGACTGCCCAAAACGGGAGATGGAGCCCCCAGGGGGGCCTGGACTATGACGGAAAACCAAAAAGGAAGTGTTAATGGAGAAAGCRGAAAGCAGAGTCCACCCAAGGAGCTGCAGCGAGCACCGTGCTGTGCTGTATGAAAGGATCCACCAGTTTGTAAAGCAGAAAAAAACCCCTATTGGTCTTTCTAATTAATCTCACAGGCTGCTGTCCCTGGCTGGTGCATCCTGTGCATTGCATAATCCCATAGACAGGAGATTTTTTAACTACGATAAATGTGCGTAACAGCTATACAGAGATATGAATTTGGAAAGATTACCTGAAGGCACTTGTGGGAACAAAATCATTTGAACCACTTCCAAAATCAGGCCAAAATGGGACAGATGTAAATATTTTTAACAGACTTCAGATGTAAATATTTTTAACAGACTTCTTTTCTTTCTCCCTAGCATCACCTTTCATACAAGTGACCGTGCTCAGCTTCTTAAAGGCTTTAGGTTTTTCTCAAGTCTTTAGAAACTTGTTTCATCCTTGCTGCTTTCCCTCCCTCCCGGACTCCAAAAAACCACTCTCCAGGGGTTCACGGCGAAAATTCCTGCTCCTCCTGTTTCCTTCCTCTTCCATGCTRCACTTTTCCACAGTGTCACCATTTGCAAAATAAATTATCCTTGCTAGTGGTTTCGCTCCTTGAAGGTCTTTTTTTCTCCCCCTCTTATTTGTAGAAGCTCCCAGCTTCTGCCTGCTCAAAGATATCCCTCAGAAGCACAGTTTCAGTACAGCTGATACAGAAGGTACAAGGCAATTCTTCACATTTAAAGGATTCTTACAATTCAGAAAGCATGACTGAATGCGAGGATTCTCTCCTCATAAAAGATTCATAAAAGAATCTCCCTCCCTGTAAATAAAGCATCTCATTCTATACATTATATTTTTTTTATCCCTGAATTATAAAGCATTCCAAACAGTTCAGTACAGAAAAAGAGAAGAGAAAAAAGCTCAGGAATAACATCAGGAATGGCCAAAACCCATTCACGCAGCTACTTYGGAGCACCTTTTGGATTGCTGTGGTCCGCTGCAGCAGTTCCGGACTCGTCTGCTGACCTGCAAGCAGGCAGCGCCGCCGAGCTCAAACCACGCAGCGCCCTTAGCAGGAGAAGCTGAAAATAAGAACGCCTGAAGAAAAACCAGGAGGACTCAATCTTGCATCATAGAGATGGGCCACTATCTCAAAACCTCAGCCTGCATGGGCAATTTGCTGTAATTAAACAAGCAACATGTCAAAAGAAAAGCAAAAAACTGAAACACCAAAAGATTTTTTTAAAGAATGTGCTTTTTAAATTTTATTTTTGCTCATTTTTAATTAATTTTTGTTGCTGAACTTGATCTTTGCTGCAGGTGCCCAATAAGGTCGCAGAACTATTTTCCCTTTTCTTCCTGAAGTTATAAAGTTGAAGATACAACTACACATCAAACAACTAAAAAATCCTTGAAAACATCTAGCATCATTGATGTTCTCTTACTACTACAACTGCTATTTATTTTTTATTTGCATCTCTCTTGCTGCAAGCCAAGGAAAAATAGCATAGATTTATTTATATGTGAGATTTTGTTACTGGATGAAACTTAAGGAAAATAAGGATTTATAATGATAAGCAAATTCAACCATGAAATTACCACCATGGTGCCACACAAGAGTAACATAGTAAAGTTCCTATGGCAGAATTTTAGCAGTAAGTCACTTTACGAAGCTAGGGCAACAAACAGATACAGTTGCGAAAAAAATTCCTGCCATCAACATATTAAAAAGGAAATTCACCTACAGAATTTTTTCTTTTAACGTGCAGGAAAAATCAATAAGGAAATGCAGGCACTGAGCTCGGGGCAGCAGCGACCTCAGGGCCCGCTTCTATTTGACCTGTGGGCAGGTTCAAACTTGCAGGTTTAGTCTGAGATTAAGAACAGGTAAAATGGGGAGCGGCACAGCAGTAAAACAAGGGAGAAGCACCAGGGCCTGAGCCCATGGGTACTGCTGCCTGCTTCAGAACCCCCCAGGTTGTCCAATACGCCTTGTTCACAACTGATTTTTAGCATTCTGCCTCCTTAGGCTAATTTTCATACAGAAACTGAACTAAAGCCACGAAGTCATTAGTGTGTTTTTACACTAAAAATTGAATGAGCCAATGCTGCCTCCAAAAATGAATAACCCCGGTTCCTGCTAACCCCTCTGCCATCTGCTGGTAGTTTAGAGAAGTGTCCAGCAATCTGCAYGCGCCCAACAACTCTTCAATGCAGAACACTGATATCCTCCTCATCACCTGCAATGGCACAGAACTTGGCAAGCACATCATTTTGCATTGGTGCACACACGCGCACACACACCCTAAGCCTTAAAATAAATAAGAAATCCAGGAGTTTGGAAATTCCACCTTCTCCCTTCCTGCCACATAACGTCATGTGCGTAACTGCAGTTACTGACTTRCTTCCTTATGCATCCCATTCATCTAACTCCGTACTGCAAAACTGCCACATCACTGTGACTTACTTGTTAGAGCCCTCCTTTAGACACACTCCAAGAATGAACACTCCAAGAATGAACTAAATTGGAGAAAGGAATACTCACCACAGACTACTCCTTTCTACGAACATTTAAAATGATGAAACAAAAACATAACAACACATTGATTGCTTGTTTTTATTTTAAATAGTTTTCTGAAACTAGTACTGATACACAAATTGTCAAACTATCAAACCTAAGACTGCATGACGACTGCCTTCGTGAGCTAAGGCCTTTGGCTCCGTCTCACCAGTTTCTTCCATTCCATTCCATCCATGAGTTGGACTCATCAAGACGTCACCTCCAGCCCAGGGGGGCCTTACTACGTGTCAAGCTGATCAAGAGCCCCCTTGGCTGCTGAGTGATGCTGGAATCTGAAGGTKTCTCCAGCAGGGAATGATCCGAGCAAATCCACGACCCGCGGCCAAATGGCACTCGGGAGCTGTGGAAAGACACGCACGAGCAGGGTCCTCCTCAGCAGACAGCCCTTTTCAGCAGCCTCCACTCCTCCCTTACTTGGGCCAGTCTTGAAAATCAGATCCATCTCGGGCTGCTTTGTTGATTTGGCAATAATGGTCTCCAGAGACAGATTTGGTGGGAGAAGTAATCAGCATCAACAGRCTTTATGTTAACACCGAAGCTTCAGTTTTAGATGCTTGGCATAGGAAAGAAAGGAAATATTAGATATGATGCCCCAGTCATCAAAGAAGAAATTTAACATCTCTGAATCAACATGGAAGGCAAACGTGTTGCTGCCTCTCATGTTCCCTATGTACTGAAGCTGGAGATATGCCTTAGAAGTTTATTTTATACACAGACAATTAAAAATACATTTTAGTAATGTTTCTCATAAAAATTGTACAAATACCACAGTACTGAAACCAGGGCAACAAAATTAAAAAGTCAGGAAGAAATATTTACAAACGCATTGTATTGTACTGAAATTGCAAGATTGGAAGTTGCTAAAGTGCAAAGTCGGCTATATTCTACAMAGACACAAGCATGTTTTCTTGCTTATACTATGAACCAATACCATCATTACAGATACACCACATTTTCATGCTGAACATTCAAGTAACCAAATGTTCTCCTCAGGCTGACGCACAAAAATCCTCCTGGAATCCCGTGGGAGATGGGCACGGGCACCCAAGGGCTCAGTTCAGTCCTTTGGTTTTAGGAGTGCCACGTGCCAGGTAAAGATTAACTACTGTAAACCCAGGAACATGAAGCATGGAGGAAGTGTGAAGGTCTCCAAGCGTGATTCTTAGGGAGCTTACCAATTTGCGTTTTAGTACATTACGATGATCAGTGCATTTTCAAAAGCACAAAAATAGAGGGCCCAATGCTCAGTATTTTATTCAGCAACAGTTTTGTCCTTGTTCAGACTGCCTTATTATATGAACAACACTTGCAGGTTTAGCCATCAGAGCCTCTACGCCCAGAGGCCACAAAAATGGGCTCTTACAGCATAAGAATATTAAAAAGTCAGCATTCAAAATACATTATTAAAATGATCTATTAGAGGAAACCATAATAGAAGGAAAGTGACTACAAGGTTTCCAGGTTAATGGAAACTTCCAGTCAAATCACCTATATTCCTCATGATACAGGACAGTTAATCTACATACTATGTACAATAATCTTCACCACTTTCAGCCAAAAACAAAGAAGTTGTTGACTCAGTTCATGTATTTGCTTGGCAGAGCAAACAATCTCAAGTTCCTTTTTCTTGGGCAAGACTATTTAATGTTTGCCAGAGGATTTTAAATGACAAGGAAACAAAGTTTGTCTTGAAAAGCAGCTTCAGTAAATTAAGTTTGTTGTATTAGACTATTTTTAAACTACTGCATCATATTTACCAAAACARCTATGGCATAAGAGGTTACACAACTAGGCTTAAGTAATGCCACAATCCAGTTGCTTTTACCCAAAGCTATTTACAAGGAATTTGATTCAAACAAACCACTTGGTTTGAGAAAGCATCCAAAGAATTAAAAAATGGCAATTCCATAGTATAATCTTTTCTAAGCTTTTTGGGGGGAACGTTTTAAAATAAAAAGAGCAGATCTTGATTAAGATATACATACATCAAAATACATCCATGGCAAAAAGCCTCACTGGAAATGAGTCCCAGTGCTCACGTGTGCGTTAGCAAACAGAAGTCTGTGCCATAGTGTGCAGTAGATGGGAGGGAAAGCGAGGGGCAAGGAGGAAAATGGATCTAGAAAGAACCATTAAGTAGGTTGAGACCTACTGGCATTGACGGAGAGACATCTGAAAAGTCATGAGCAACTGACAGCTCAGGATTACGAAATCCAGTGAAGTGAATCTTGATGCTTAAGGGGGCCAGGCTAAGCAGATGACTACAGCTGTAATGAGTTTTTAAGGGTATTAAAGTATATATTGGCAGAGAAAGACCACAATACATTCTGACAAATCCTAAGCGAAGTCTTTTAACTATGCAAGAAGCCTAAAAATATCAGCTGATCAAGTTATGAAGAGATCTGAGTGCTCTCCATCACACAAGCCCCAGTTGCCTCTTTCCATTTGCTGTGCAGTTGGAAGGCATGGACATGTTTTTGATATAAATCTCTCTAGAGATTTACTATCCTACACCCACATAAACTCCTTCAAAACAAAAACTTGCTCTTCCAAAGTGATCCTCTGGATGTGGTACTTAGTTTTCAAGTGCAGAATTGGTTGAAAAAAAGATTAATCACTGGATGGAGTGAGTTTTGATTTGATTCACCCATGGCAGTCATCACCAAGATCTTCTTTGTCTTTTACAGCAATGAACTGTGGCAGCAGTTGTCTTTTACAGCAATGTACTTTGGTCCAATATCCGAGGAAGAGTCTCATGTTCATATAAACCGCCCCCCCAGTAGTTCTTTTCCACAAGCCATCAAGGAGCTACACACCTGCTGAGCTAGTCCAGATCCACAAAAAAAGAAATTCAAACATAGAGCCACTGCTTTAGACCAGCGAAAGGAGAACCTAACCAAACAGCACCATGCAAGGAATGCATGCACAGTACCTGCCCTGCCAAGTGCAAATAAGTCCATGCTGCGTTGAAACCTGAACATCTTCAAGCTGCTCAGTTACTTTCTCAGACAGAATGAAGGGCAGCAACTGGAATCTAGAGACCACAAGGCTCTCACTCCAACACAGACACCAGATATCGCCCTCTTACATTTGCAACTAACCAGAGAGCTGTTGTTGATATTGATGTTTTGGAGTGCTAGTACTGAAGAATATTGTCACATTTTCCACAGTAGAAGACAGAGAGGCAGCAGGTTCTACCAGAGACTTTCTTCCTCAGTCTTCGCTGGACTTCACCTTTGGCAAATTCTCTTCACATGGAGCTAATTACAGTGTGAACCTGAGAAGCTGGAATACAGCAGTTTACTTCTGGTGTAAAGGAAATCCAGAGCCTGATGTCCTGATTGTGTCATTAGCTCCTCAGCTCATCTTCCCTACCTGTTCTCCTGATGGCTTCTTACAGAGGGAAACAAAGCATCTTATTTACAACCCCATTAACTTATCCATGACAGCTTCATAAATCCAAACTCAGCTTTTAAGTGCTAGGGGATTTTAACTATCCACAGCTCTCAATCTTTTAAAATCTTTCTAAATTCAGGAACTGAGGATGAATGACACTGAGGCATTACCTTTAAGAGCTTTCTCTTTAGGTGCTGCATCACTTTCACATGCAATCTGACACARGAGGATTTTAATTTAAGGAGATCTAGCTAAAACACCTTACTGTCAACTCCGATACATGAACAGGAATCTTTGAAGGAAAGAGCAGAGTGCAATAGCTTTAGAAGAAATATAAACTGTGCTGTAACTATGCAGAACTGCAAGTTTTCCAAATTTTGTGAAAGTCCTGTGAAACACTATACAAAAGCTATATACCAAATCCAGCTTTCTTCAGTCACTACAGTTAAGAGAATCAGAACATGACAGCGATTTAAGCCTTTGGGACAAACCTAAATAAATATAACTGTTCATGCTATTATCTGCTYGTAGAAGTCGACATTATATAGCATATAATTTAATGGAAAATCCTCAAGTGTTACAGTCATGATTCTTTCTTTGCTATTTGTGGGTAGCAAAAACTAAACCCATAAAAAGAAACTCTCTAGAGGCACAATAGAGACAATTAAGCCCATTCATTCTACGATATCCTGCTAAAACCCAAAATAAGTCAAATATAAATACATTTCCTCCAAAAATCCACCACATTCTCAAGCAAGACAGATTCGTACTAACAAAACCAAATTAAATTAGTATTGTAAATTAAAAAGAAGACTTAGAAAAAGGAGGATCAGAACTAAGAGCCGCAAAGTCCAATTAATAGAGTTTTAAAGGGAATTCAAAGCACTTATGGCACTTAGGATATCTGGCAGCCGCTGTCTTTCTGAGGTTTTATATCTGGTTCCTTCAGAGGTTTTACATCTTCATCTGGTTTCGGTTTAGCCTGCAACCAAAATGAAAAGAAGATTTAAAATACCGCAAGTAAAAACCACTATATCTGCCAAGTATTCAAGTAGTGCTAACTTTACATATGCTAATGTAATATTCCTCTCTTYCCAAAGCTAAAGGCCTTGAACAAGAGGGGCAGGGGGTAGGTAAATCAAGTCTTCTCTATTTCAGTACCCTTAAATGGATCCTCTTTTGAAAGAAACTTTATATACTAKTCACTCCTGTAGCATCTCAGCCTCTCACACACATTCTAAATTTCCTCCTACTTCGGACTTAGTGACCCCATAACTTCCCTTTGCTGACTGTGCAACAAGGATTAACTGACTATTCTCTCTGCACAACCCAAGTCTGAACTCAGGTGGAAGCCTGGTGTCTGTGCCCTCAGCTGACCCGGGTTGCATGTCAGAAGAGCAAAACGGCAACTTGGTACTGCATGTACAATCAGGCTAATGGAGAATAAAAAAAGTGATAAATAAAATAATCTTACAGTGTCATCCTTTGGTCTCTTGGTGAGATCAAATGCAGCAAGTGTTTCAGGAGTCCAGTGYGCATTTAGGGCAGGAAATTCAAAAGGAACAGGCTCCACTAGGCCATAGTTTGCTTTCAGTTCCAGCTGGGGCGCCTCTGATGGTACTTTTTGGAAGTAACTGCAATTGAATACAATAATACTTTTWAAGCTCAGCACACGATCTCTGCAAGTCTCATTTGCAATCTGAAAGGAAAACCACGTGGCCTTTCACAGTGGCAGTCAGTGCTGCTCTCATTGCACGTCATTAAGCAACACCCAAGACGTGTTCTAGTGACAAGCTTCTCAAAAACAAAAGCAATTCCTCCTTGGCCCTGCTCCTTTCCCAGTAACTATTTGGTTTCTTTCCAAGAAGAAGAGGATAAAAGGTAATCAGCAAGAGAATTCTGAAGCTGAACTAATAATGTTATTTTAAACTCCTTCCTGGCTCTTTTTGAAAGATGCAGGAACTAAAAAATACCAATATCTCACTCTTAGTTACACTAGAGGAGCTCCTAGCACTCTAAGCACACTCTTCATTGAAGACACATCTCTGTTTCAACTTCCCTGCTAGCAAAGCAGAATAAGCTACCAGTTTTCTCCAGTTCCCCTCTGACCCCTTTGCCTGCTAGGCCTCCCTGCAGGTCTCTCTCGGGCAGAAGATAAAAAAACAAAAAGGCAGATGGCAGAGGAGAGGAAAGAAAGCAGCTTAACCTCTCCCACACGTCAGGCCAACCTGCCCTGCTGGACTGGGCTGGAAGGAGGGCAATGCTGAACACCAGGTCAACAGCAAATGTGCTGAGAGGAAGTCAAGGATTAATTTGCAATTTTGCAAATTACATGGAGAGTAAAAGTTACCATCCTGTCCTGAAGCAAAAGCAAAGGAGGTGTTAACAATCCACATAGAGTACTGCACCAACCAGGAATTACTCACATGAATCCATTCTCTCGTTGGCATTTTTCCAGAGTGTTCTTAACCAAACTTCCTAATTTCCTAAAGAAGAGATGTCCAGAAGGTTTGGCTGTAGTCCCAGGTCCTTTGGTTTCTCCATATTCTTTGCACAATGCTTCAGCCTTGGCAAAAACTTCACAAGAAAGTATTGTAATAAAAGTCAGTTATACGAATCTATTAAATGGCAGTTCTGATTTATAGTTGCTTTAGTTTTAAGAGATACCAGACTCCATTCAGACTTCTTATTTCTCGGAAATAAAATAAATATGCTCAAGGGCAGTACCTCCAGCCAAGATTTACCGCATCCCAAAAGTGATTGTGAACAACAGAGGAGGAAAAAAAAAAAAAGGAGCTTTTTAGGTAGGGAGAAGGGAAGCATTCTTACTTGTAGGGCAAAAAACAAAGTAAACCTTAATCTGGAGCATGTTACTGTTCTTGTAGAGAAACAAGAGTGGATACAAAGGTTTCTATGTAGAGTTGATGCCACAAGAAAAAATGTAGTTCAATAAGGGACATGGAAAAGGGCACTTTGAACAGAAGGTACAGCAAAAAGCACAAGATTTGTTTTATGGAAAGTAATCCAGTATAGCTTATGCTCATACTCATTTTTTTTCCTCATCTACTTTTAATATTGCTATCAAAACTTTCAAGTTAAACAATTTGAATGTTTTTATGTTTTTACATGCTGTAGTAAAGTAATGGAGTACAGGCCATTGAAATACAGCAAAAGTTACCAGTCTKAAGGCAAGACAGTTTGAGCAGCATCTTTGCATATGAGCAACACCCTTGAAGACAGAATGACGGAGGAAAGACTCTGAATTACTGTAACAACTCTAGTTCACTCCCCTTATCTACCTTCCAAAGGAAGAGCAAGCACAGAAATTATCAAAAAAAAAACCCAAAAACAAGCACACTATGGAAGCAGTCACAGTATATTTCTGTATTTTCACTATTTATGGTGCGCTACTGCAAGTTTATGTTTTAGAGGTTGCTCTAATTTAACATATAGACCAGAAAGCAAAATGGCCAGACTTTTCCTTTAGCATTATTGTTGATGGCTCAAAACAGTCATGGCTGATAAGTTGAAATTTTCTGTAGCTGCCTTATGAAAAAAGTCTTCAGTAARATAGATCTAAAACAGACACTGCCTCCACTGGAAAGTGTACCAGGAAATCAAACACCACCCAATACTGCATAACAAAACACACATCATTTGCATCCTACAATCCATTCTCTCAATCCTACTCACATTTTTCTGATTCCTGCAGAGATCTGATTGCTTCTCCACACTTATCACTGGTCAGCAAAGTCTGACCATGGTAACAGTATGCCTAAGAGAGAGGACAACGTTATTATCAATCGGACTCTGCTCTTCCTTCCTTACAGCAGAGTTGCATCTCTTTGAAGCTGTCATCTCCTGCAGAAAGCTGGCAATTTGGAAAGGCACTCAATAGTGACTGCAACCTTAGGCTGAACAGCGTAATTCAGCATCTGCAGACATCAGCTAGGCCTAAAGCAACCTGTCTCAGGTCTGCATGTGATTTAGTCAACAGAAACCTGTAGCTGCATGAGGACTATTTTACCAAAAGCAGTAGTATTTAGCTTRATTCTCTCTACTGCCATGTGTAACATTAAATCCCACCAACACAAATAAGATGAATCCCTGTCAAGATTACAGAAATATAGACTCTTTAAAATGGAAGCACCTGAATACTCAGTAACTGAGTCTGCACCCAACACCACTGTGTTCAGAAGACATGCTGCCTGCTTGAGATATTTTGCCAGAGTCCCAATAACTTTTCCATCCAAAAAATTCCCATTCCTGCAAACTCATGCTTGTGGTCTACTGAGAACCAAATGGCCTCTTATCTATTATCACGAGATACTCAGTTTAAACTACTTTCTAAAATCTGTAGCATAGGAACATTCCCATGAACTAATGCATACCTTCCTGATTATACCATGAGAAGATACATAAAAATGTTAACTAAGCTGCCATGGCCCATTTTATACATTCTAAACTCAACAAAACAAACACACAAACACAAGCTCTGACTCTCCCTTACCTCTCACTCTTGTTAACAAAACATGCAGCTTTTAAGAAGAAAGATTTCTTTAACTATTTAGTTTCAAACATTTTTACAGCACAAAAGAGCCAAGTCACAGTTTCTGACAGGCCACAAGAAGTGAACAGCAAGTCCAGTAGCCGAGTGTCACCAGTCCCATTCCTTGGGGCACCACTGCCCTYGCTAAGAGAACAGTGACACAGAAGGGACAGGGCCTCAAATGGCCACAAACATTATTTGAAGCAAGTTCATTCTTTTTTGGAGCTTTAGAGAAGGTGATCATCTCTGAATTATGCYTAGAATCAGACTGCGATTCAGATAACGGAAGGATAAATATTATGTTCAACCTGATCCAACTCACTTACAGATGGAAAGRTTCTATATAGCAGGGATTTCACCTGGCTCCTTAAAAACACTTTAAATTCCACTGACACTGCAGAGTGTCTCGTCAAGGCAATAGTTGGTCCCCATTCCCTGTCTAGACAACATTAGGAATTGTGAACAATGTCAATCCAGTACTTACATAGGCCATATAGAAACAAGTCTTCAAGTTTAAGTACTTCCTCCATTTACCTACATAGGCTGGATCCAAACTGGATAGCGTTTGGTCTATGAATAAGCAGGCAACATTATTCTAAGACATTTGTAAACAAAAGACCCGTATAAACTCAAAGAGGAGCATTCTTCAACTCAGCAATAGATCTTAAAGTGGTTAGAAGCAAGTTAGAGAAGTTATTCCTGCAAAGGCAGGGAAAAACCATGGGAAAAAAAAAAAAACCCAAACAAGTATGCAGCTCACTGAACTGTCACGCACCATCACGAACTATCCACTAAGCCTGGAGGGCTAGTTTTACTAAACAGCATTTCCAAGTTTGCTAAGAGTTTAATTTCAGGTAGTGACCTATAAATGTCTACATGTGTTACAGCACTCCATCTTCCATAGCGACTCTCGCATTTTTGCCCTTTTCTGACTCACCTCAGTGACCCCACAGCTGAACTTGCTCACTCAGGAGGATGCACACGCTTAATCTGTTGCATGCTCTACAGTCTGCGTCATGCCCTGCTTGCTAAAGAGACCTGAACATGCTCTGTTTACATCAACCTTGCTTGCTGGCAAGACCTGCTATTATATATAGCAAGACATTGGCTCCTAGCTCCTTTCACTAGCATTTCCTACTAGTAGCTACAGAGGGATGCCTACAAAAAAAAAAGCCTTATCAAAAATATATCTATAYGACTAAAGCTTTGAATGCATTAAATAGAAACTAAACATACAAAGTGTTTCCACTGAGAGACAGCATTAATACTGCAATTGATGGGTGGGTGAAGTATGTCTGCTGGCAAGAAGGCATAAACCAGTCACTAAGGATACAAAACAAGACACTTACCAGCTTTTTGGTAGAAGTTTGCTGTTTCGTACGCAAGAGCAGCTATTAAACCTGGATTATGTTTCAACTCAATAGCCCGGGCAATTGTCACTGAAAAAAAATTCCATACCACAGTACTGAGGTTTAACTGAAAACAACTCATCAAATCTATCAGATGTATTTAGCATTTTAACACCCCTGCATAACCAGAAAGCAGGTGTGACGTTCTCACAAATCAAACAGACTACAGAATGAAGACAGACTGTTACCTGAACARGATGATTCCAAATTAACAGAAAAACTGGAAGATTAGGTGGAAGACTAATGAGCAGAGGCATGAGATATTTTAATTGAACTGGAATTTATGTTAGACAAGAATAATATAGGAGAGACTGCATTCAAAGAAAAAAGAAAGGGGGAGGACTATCACACGTAATTTCTTCCAAACTAGTCAAAYTGGTAACATCAGAATGATCTTTGAGGTCTCCTCTAATGAGAGCTGAAACTTCCTTAAAAACAACCCTCCCCGCTAAGCCACAGTACCTGGACACAGATAGAAAACTATCATTGCTACCAAGTGGACTTGGTAGCCTTCATGGGACACCAAAGAAACCCACAGGCCACAACTGTCACTTCCCACTCCCAACAGACAAGCATATTTAAAGATACCTTCTTGAGCTTCAGCTTGGCACTGTATGATGTAGGAATCTATAAGTCGAGCTTCTAAATCTCTTCCCTTCTCCACAGGTGTAATCAGTTTGGCAACATGACTTTCCTAAGTACAAAATAAGTCTCAAAGTTAGTTAAGCTGAGTGTCAGTATGGATAATTTAAAGCGAGTCCCTAAATGGACACTATTTCATGTTTTTCCTAAGTGTATGCAGCACTGAGTGAGGATCACAAGATGCCTGGCTACATTAGTGCACATGCTATTGCCCAGACTTGATTACTACTCCTCTGCCAGTGGGGAAGAGCAGCAGAAACTGAGTGGCAGCACAACAAATTAACAAATTTGTTAACAAATTAACACTCTTCTCTTTTTRGTGTCATTCAGAGAGTACCAGTATTTGGTCACATATTCTCCACCTCCATTATAAAAGCAAAGCCCTTCCAAGACAAGAAGTACTCTAATCAGAGACAACTTAAGAAAGAGAGAGCAAAGAAAAATTTACTACCTTCAAATGTTTAAAAATCCCAGCTGCTATCTTCAGGCTTCTGTGAACATCTTTTGCTTCATCTTCTGTTATACTAAGAAAGGGCAGAACACAGAATGAGTCACAGAAAAGTTGGTTGGAAATGACATTTGATGTCATGTAGTCCCACCTCCTGCTTGGAGTAGGACAACTGCCAGTAAAACCAGTCAGCTATGGCCTTGTCAAGCTGAGTCTTGGWGTCCTTCAGGAAAAAAGTCCAGAGTCCCTCTAAGTAACCTGTGCCATGCTAACCTTCTGGTGAATAGTTTATTTTTACTAGAAAAGGTAATCCCTTGTAATGACTTTCAACTGAAAGGAAGCCTCAGGATCAAAAGAGAAAAGCTTCAGAAACCTGTAGAGATAAGAGGCAGCAGAGCTGTGATTCTGAGAATTTGTATCTTAGAACTAGACATCTAGAGTAGGACTGATGAAGGGTTTAATTCACAGCTAATGCTTTCTCTATATCACATTCATATAGTATAATACACTGTTTATACATGCAAGGAAGGATTGAGGTGCATTTTGGCATTAAAGCACACAAACGAAAGCCAACCGCCTCCCTGAACACGTAGCTGTGTCTGCTGGACACAAACATGGGTCAAAACTCAGAACCTACTAAGCTTATTTCGTGGAATATTGCTGCAATGGAATTACCAAGAAAAGCAAAGCACTTACTCTTCTTTTCCAGCAAGTCTTGATGCGTATTTTGTGTACCACAGAGCCACATTAAATCCCATGGAAACCAGTTCAAACACTGCATCCTGCTGGGAACTAGAGAGAGAGACAGAAACCCCAAAACAACCCCCAAACAATAAAATGTTTTCCATTTTGTTCTGACAAATTCTCTCATAGAATTCTGCAACATGAGTTGGCATTTCTGTCTGTACAATAGTTTTAATCGTCTGCCTAAAAGAGACTTCAATTTTCACTTACTCCCCCAAAGAGCTCAAAATCACGATTTCCCACATTCAAATGTCTGCCCTTCACATTTGGGAACTTTTATTTTAAAACAGTGACTTCAGTTTGTTTAGTTTTGGGTGTGGCTGACATTTCCCCCCCCCCCCC